CTCGTCTAAGTCTTCTAATTCTTTGAGCCCTCAGTATCTGCCAGAACCTCCTTTTTTTCTTTTTCCAGTCCTGTTTGTCCCTCAATATCCAGTGTTCACATAATTTGCTGGTCCCATCCTTGTTTGGAACAAGTTGGCCCTGTACGCTCCCTATTTCCTCTTGAATGCATCATCCCATTGCTGTGACACAGAATTTCCTGAAAGTATCTACTCCTAGTCCACTCTGGTCAAATCAAATCTGATCTTATTGAAATCAATCTTCTCCCAGTTTAGTACTTTGATTTCAGGCCCATCCTTGTCCTTTCTCATAACAACCTTGAATCTAATGGAGCTATGATTGTGTCTGCAAAATGCTGCCCCATGGTACTTCAAACATTTTCCCAGCTTTATTACAAAAAAAATTAAGTCCAGGACTACCACCCCCCACCTCTCTCATAGGTCCTTCTATGTACTGACCTGGATGCATTTCAAGAATTCTGCTCTAATTAAACCTTTCACATTATGACTAGCACAGTTAATGTTGGAGAAGTTGAAATTCCTGATCACTACCTTAGTACTTTTACACTTCACCGAAACGTGCCTCCATATCTGGTCTTCTATTTCTGTGAAGCTGTTAAGGGGCCTATAGTACACTCCCAGCAACGTGATTGCTCCTTTCTGATTTCTGAGTTCTAATGACATATGGCTTCATTTGAGGAGCCCTCCTTACTGCGGTCATAGATTCTCTGATCAACATTGTGACACCCCCTCCTCTTTTCATAGAACCCCTACAGTGCGGAAGCAGGCCATTCAGCCCATTGAGTCCACACTGACCCTCTGAAGAGCATCCCAACTTAGACCCATCCCCCTACCCTAACCCTGTAACCCTGCATTTCCCATGGCTGACCCACCTAGCCTGCACACTATGGGGCAATTTAGCATGGCCAATCCACCTAACCTACACATCTTTGGACTGTGAAGAGTATCCAGAGGAAATCCACGCAGGCATGGGGAGAATGTACAGACTCCACACTGACAGTCACCCAAGGGTGGAATCAAATCCAGATCCCTGGTGCTGTGAGCCACCATGTCGCCCTGCATAATGTGAAGACTGTGCATCCTGGAATATTGAGCTGCCAAACCTGCCCCTTGTTACGGTGAGTCGGTGGCAGCATTGATATCATAGCTCCATGATTTACTTTGTGCCTTCAACTCAGCTGCCTCATTCGTCGGACTCCTGGCATTAAAATAAACACCTTCCAACCTTGTCATACTCCCTTAACTGGCCTATAATTTCTATACCTTAATGATTCACTTGCTGTCCCTTCTAATTGTGGCCACTTATCTCCAAACCTGCTAAGCATTCTCTACGGATCCTACCCTGTGCCAGGTTAGTTTAAGCCCTCCACACAGCACTAGCAAACATCCCCACAAGGATACTGTGTCCCATCCCATTCAGGTGTAATCCATCTGTCTTGTACAGGTCCTGATACCTCTACCACCTAGAGGGACCCTAAGGGCAGTAGTTACATAGGAACACCACAACCTCCAATTTCCCTTTCAAACCATTCACCATCCTGACTTGGAAATATATCGGCATTCCTTCAGTGTCCAAAATCCTGGAGTTACCTTCCTAACTGTATGTGTACTTACTTGGATTGCAGCAGTTTCAAAAGAAAGCTACTACCAGCTTCTCAAGTGCAATTAGGGAGGGACCAATTACTCATTTACATATTTGGTGAGACCATTTCCACAGATGCCATGGAGTTCACCTCCTTTTCAACAGCTTGTTTGACTACATGAGAGTAACACAAACCATAAAACTATGTGACCCTAAGAAATAGGAACAGGAGAAGACCATTCAGCCCCTTAAGCCTGCCCCATGATTCAATAAGATTGGAGAGGTTGGAAAGGCAGGTATGTTTTTCACTAGAATGTAGGAGGTTGAAGGGTGATCTTATAGAGGTTCATAAAATCACGAGGGGTATAGATAAGGTGAATGGCAGGTGTCTTTTTCCTTGGGTGGGGGATTTCAGGACTAGGGGGCATATTTTTAAGGTGAGAGGAGAAAAATTAAAAAAAAAAGACACGAGGGGCAATTTTTTTACATAGAGTATGGTTCATGGATGGAATGTACTTCCTGAAGAAGTGGTGGATGTGGGTACAGTGACAACATTTAAAAGACGTTTGGATAAGTACATGAATAAGAAATGTCTGGATGGATATGGGCCAAACGCAGGCAGGTGGAAGTAGTTTAGTTTAGGATTGTGGTCAGCATGGACGGGTTGGACGGAAGGGTCTGTTTCTATGCTGTATGACTCTATGACTCTATGTCCACTTTCCTGCCCTTTCCCCATAACCGTTGATTCCCCGACTGATCAAGAATCTATCTATCTCAGCCTTAAATATACACAAGGGCTCTGCCTCCACAGCTCTCTGTCTTGTGTATATGCGTATGTTGGGTTTCGGTACAGGAACCAGGCCTAATCATCAACCAGTGGGTTCTGTACCATTTTTATTAGCCTCTGGTGGAACATGGATTCAATTTCTTGTCTCAACATCTTTAACAGGATTGTGGCATTTTTCTTGGAATGAACAAACATATGAATTTGGTTTCTGGTCTTAATGCAACAAAGGATGTCATGGGCAGCTTTCACAAACTGATTAATAGCTCCTCCACCTTGTAGATAAGAGGTCAACAATGACCACCCTGAATCAGAATCACATCTCGCGTTTATGTAATTTCTCATTCCTTAGATTGAAGACTAGACAGAGCTAGTCTTTTTTCCCATTGATTTGACATCATTGAAGTTATAGTGTAGCTATTAGCATTTACAAATGTCTGTTTGATAACACAGAACTTGAGTATTGCTGACAAAGGGCACATTTTGTTAAAACTTATCCCTTTTGCACTATCAGGACAATGTATAAGAAATACCAAAGCGAAGGGAAAACAACATTTATACTGAATGAGAGGCTGGCAAGTGGACTCTGGTTGTTTGTGATGTTGTTATGATGCAATCATCAGCTAATGATACAAAAACAAAGTTGCTGGAAAAGCTCAGCAGGTCTGGCAGCATCTGTGCAGGAGAAAACAGAGTTAACGTTTTGGGTCCGGTGACCCTTCCTCAGAACCCTTCCACCCTTCCTCACCAGCTAATGATGACTGAAAGTTAGCTGCCCTGGCTTTGTTTAAATTTTACACCAAGTAGATTGACACAAATGGCTCAAGGCATTGCCCTGAGAAATGAATGAGAGATAACTGTCACCTATTTAATTGTGTTGAAGTAGACACTGTGTGTATACAGAGATAGTAGGAACTGCAGATGCT